GACCCTATAGGACAGAGTAGAACTGCTCCATAGGGTTTCCAAGGCTGTAATCTTTACAGAAGCAGACTGCCACATCTTTCTCCCACGGTAGCAGCTGATGGGTTTGAACCTCCAACTTTTCGGTTAGCAGCCAAGTACTTAACCACTGCACCACTGGGGCTCCTTACTGAATACGTATACTAGCGTTGTTTGCTTAGTGACAGAAGGAAAGTTTGCCGTGAAATTTTAAACAATATGTAGGATATATATATATTTTGGTATTTTTACAGATCAACATTTCAAAGCTCCTTCTAGAGAGAGAGGTTACCGTTATGAGCCCTGGTGGTGCGGTGGTTAAGTCTTTGGCTGCTAACTGAAAGGTCGGCGGTTTGAACCCACTGACCACTCTGTGGGAGAAAGATGCGGCATTCTGTTTCTGTAAAGATTACAGCCTTGGAAACCCTATGGGGCAGTTCTGCTCTGTCCTGTAGAGTCACCATGTGTTGGAATTGATGGCAGTGGGTTTGGTTTGGTTTTGGCATTAGAAGTTTCCTTCTCCCCACTTTGCCGACGTGGTTAAATGAGGTATTGGCATCTCACTAAAAGCTAGAACTTGTATCTCGGAACAGCAGGTGCTTCATACTGGAGGGTTTTTTTCTTGTTATTTTTGTTACACGCTTAAGTTGGTCAGCCTTAAATATAGGCAACTATTTTAACAGCGTTACCTCTTTAAATGGACTAGAGGGCCAGGGCGACAGTTCATTTTCTGGAAACACACAGACAAAACAACGGCACAGATTATCACAAACATCTCACCATCTTCAGATTGCCTGCTGTGTGGCTTTCCCCATGTGACCTCTACATCTTTCTTCCCATTTTCTTCATTCTTCTCTGGCTTTGATTCCGTGACTTTCTCCTGAATGGGAATTTCCACAACAGAAGCAGCCAGATCAAACTCCAGAGTGTGCTGGGGAGCAGGGTCACTGATAAACAGTAACAAGGTTCATGTCTCGGTTCCAAGACTTCTTCAGAAGGGCTGCATCTGGCTTTTGTGACAGGCGGCAGTGTGGCTTGGATTTTGTGAAGTCTACAGATTTGGGGGAGAGTGGTGAAACTGATCACAGATAACTCCATTAGAAGTCTCAGTTTCAGGGAAACCTATCAGACCTCCCATGTGAGATTCTTTGGGTGAGGGTGGGGCATCATGCAGTATCATGGTCAGCTTGGAGGGCCCTGAGCAGGCAAAGGCTGGCTGGCACTTGCTGATTTGCACATGGTCTCCCAAGGCCACTGAGGCAAGCTCTCTCATATCTTGGAGATTTCCAATAAAAGTATGTAGCCATTGCAAATTTCTCACCAGATATTAAGAAATAAAACCTAATCCAGAATGCCTGAGGCATTTTTTTAAAAAAATCAATTTAATCTGAGGATTGTATTTGTGGATCTAAGGTTTTGAACTGCCATGCCCTGTCATGGATTGAATTGTGTCCCCCAAAAAATGTGTGTACCAATTTGGCTAGGCCGTGATTCCCAGTGTTGTGTGGTTGTTCTCCATTTTGTGACTGTAATTTTATATTAAAGAGGATTAGGGTGGGATTGTAACAGTACCCTAACCCAGGTCACATCCCTGATCCAATGTAAAGGGAGTTTCCCTGGGGTATGGCCTGCACCACCTTTTATCTCTTGTAAGAGATAAAAGGAAAGGGAAGCAAGTGGAGAGTGGGGGACCTCATACCACCAAGAAAGCAGTGCCAGGAGCAGAGCACACATCTTTGGACCTGAGATTCCTGCGCAGAGAAGCCCCTAGTCCAGGGGAAGATTGATGACAACGAGGACCTTCCTCCAGAGCCAAGAGAGAGAAAGCCTTCCCCTGGAGCTGACGCCCTGAATTTGGACTTGAAGCTTACTAGACTGTAAGAAAATAAATTTCTCTTTGTTAAAGCTATCCATTTGTGGTATTTCTGTTGGAGCAGCACTAGATGACTAAGACACCCCCAAAACGGACTGCTTTTGCATTAGAGCCAGATCGTTTGAAAGCAGGATCTTATGTGCAGGCTGTGTTCCTACTCAAGTTAGATGAGTGACAAATGATTGTTAATATCTGCAGTTGACCAGTTACTGAAGAAACTGTTTAATAAGCTTGATTAGCACCAACAAAGCTGTGATAGTTTATTGCATGTTGCAACAGGAGGTTATACATTTCACGGGAAGATTGGAAGACAAATACACCACTACAGCAGTAATCGTGCCATCTGGAACTGGGGCTACAGAAGCTCTTTCCTGATAATAGCTTGTCTCAGTATTGGATAGCACCATAGTGCCTGTGTCCATGAAGACACTCACTGTGATGAGCGAGGACTCATCGGTGAAGCTTGGCGAGAGTTACCCTGAGATTGGGACTTTTTGGAAAGATCAGCACCACCTATCAAATTCCCCTCAATTACCTCATCAGAGACTTTCCAGAACACAGCCCTCAGCAGACCAGAGACTTGGGATATAAGCAGAATCACCACTTGCCTCATTGCCCTTGCTTTCTCAAGGATTTGCCAAGAACTAGAGCTCCCAGCCAGTAAACATCATTGATAGCAAATGTGACAAAGGTGTGGTCTGTCACAGACATGGTCTAAGGGCATGAAAGGGCTGGTGTGCTCCTGGGCTGGCTGGGGGTCTCTCCTGGGCATAGGCTAGAGTGAGCAGAGGTGCTGCTTCTGGAGGCGGACTGGCACTGCCCTCCTGGTGCCAGCCCACTGCCCACTCTGCCCCCGGGCTCTGAACCACCCCCTGGTCACTTACTGAGGGACCGCCAGACTGTGTTCCACGGCAGCTGCATCATCTTACTTTCTACCTTTTATTTAATGAACAATCTCTAAGATTGATTTACGAATTCCCTCTAAAATTAGATGATTAGTTAAATATTCTTTCTCATTTCATGTGATCTTATTAACTGACTAATGCAATGCTTGCAAGTCATGATCCAGTGTTCTCTCAGGCCACACTGGCTTGGACTGTTATTGGGAGGTACCCCAATAAGTGTTCATCATGAGCTGAATTTTTCTTAATTTTATATTACTGGAGATTTCCTTTATGTTGTAGCAAAATAGTGTAACTAGCATATGTCCTTGGAGCAATTAGTTGCTGCTTCAGATTTTTAGATTGCCTGGAGGTCTTCTGTTTCCTGTGTATCTTATCTTGCTTTCAGTATTGCTTGCTCTGGTTCTGGTTTATTGCTGATGCCTCAACAAGACTTTTGTGTGTGTCTGTTCACGAGGAGGAGGAGGATGTGTAAACATGAACTGATTGCAGATAGCCAGTCAGGTATCTCAGGTAGCTCATTAGTCGTCTTGAGTGCCTGTTGTTAATACTATTGATCTATGATCACATCACTTTCTCTGATCGTGGTTTAGGCTTAGAGTGTCAATATTGTGTTCATTTAAAAACTGTTAATCCTAAATGACCAGGGCACCCAAAGGAACAATCAGCAAAGCTAGCCTTAGAGTGGTAAAGGCATGAATTGAGCCCTGTGGAGCAGATTCTTCTACCTCAAGGTTTTTTGAAAATCAACTTAAGAGGTTAATGATTATGTTTTGTGTTGGGAGCGAGCTGGAAAACAAGTGCTAAATGTTTATGTTGCTGAACAGTAGAAAGTTTAAGTTTGATTTTTAACAATGTGGTACTCGGCAGAGAGCTTGACTTTCATTATAGTGTCAGTCTGCTCTCAGGCAGCTGTGAATGTTCTTATTGCCAGTTTTCATCTGTGCTTGGGCTTTACTTTAAAATTTAATCAGTAAAACCTGAGCTTTACTTTAAAAACTTTACTATTAAAAAAGTATTATAAATGGTTACTCTCTTTCATAGCTTGGGCAATTAAGTTTTAACCATTTTACCATGCCAAAGGACATCCGAGAAGATTTTCTTCACCTTGTTCTCTTTTTACACTTCCTAGTTAATATTTCACAGCAGCCCATTTAAGGATGCCCCCTCAGAGGTTGAACAGCTTCTATGGAATAATCAGGGAAGTGTTCATTTGATTTTACTATTAGGATTGTATTTGTTGATTGGTTGTTGGTGCACAGAGATGTGAATAGTAGCTCCATGAACATTTCACCATATTTGGAATTCTAGGGTGGTGAGAGAACATCACTTAAGGAACAGAGGTGCTTGGAAAAGAGTGTAGCTCACTGTTAATCATTTAGTGACTGAGTAGTCTAATATATGAGACTTTGAAAGGTGTAGTACCCTAGAATTTCCTTTCCACTGCTTAAACAGCACTTTTTGGTTTGTTAAGCGTTATTTGTTAACACCTAAGAAAATGGTCAGCAGCTCAGAGAATATGTAGAACTCGAATCATTTTTTTTTCCGTTTGGGACAGTACTGAGAAAAGTATTGGGGTGAGGGGTTGGGGTTTGGATTGTTTGTAGTTGTAGTAAAAGGCAGTTGGGAGTTGGAGTTGGTTATTACTTTTCATAAAGAAGGGAAGTTCTTAGCCCATGTATGCTTGTAATGCATCATCCAGCTTCCATCAAGCATTTCTGGTCTTGCATATAACTGATCCAAGTTGATGCTAAAACAATCGTTTTGTGTCTAATCTCTTTAGCAGGGGGAGCAATCTCAGAACTGTTGTGAAGACCTGTGGAGTTCTTCATTCTTCCCCACTTTGCTGTCATGTGGCCTCTGGACACTGTGGTCAATCATTTGAGATTGACTTTAATTTAAGACAAAGGCCTCTGCCTCCTGCCCAGGAGGTGGAAGGAGTGAATTTTATGTTTGAATGAAGAAGTGAATTATGGAAGAAGAGTATCCCCCGCTTCCCTTCCCTTTCAAGCGTAAGTCCAAATAGGCTCTCAGGAATGAGGATTTGAGAAGACATCACAGAGGAGTTTTGACTCATTTAACCTTAACATTTAGTTGTGTTTCTGGAGAAAAGATACATGGTTTTTGCACGTCTATCCCAGCATCATTTAGACCTGTCACTTCCTGTCTCCTGTTTGCCGCCTGTCCTCAGTGCATGCCCTGGAGTGACATGTTTTCCTGCCAGTGTCCTAGAAAAACTTCTCTTGGATATTTTCTTTCTTCCATTTTCAAGCTTACCCTCTCACCAGGATACCTCCTATGTTTCTGTATTGTCTACAAAGGATGCTCAGGCAAAGAAAGTGCTTGAAAGATTTCAAATTCCAGAAAGGGAAGAAAGATGAGAAGTCCCTTCTTCCTACCATGCCAGATTTTTCTCAAGAAGCTGGGTTTTTCCCTTCTTTTTCTTTCATTTTGTGTGTCCCTCCAGCATTGGTTTATTTGCATTAATCATGGTTTTTGAAGATAGCTAGTTTCATCTGTCTCCAGCAAAGAATCATCAGTAGTTCATATTGCACTATCTCTGCTGGCTTCCAGAGATGGAAACAAACCAAGGTGTCTCTAAATAAGCTTCTTTTTTATTGGGGTGGGGGAATCTATGCAAGAACTAAAGTAAAACCGTCCAAAATCAAAGCAGCAACAACACAGGTCAAATCAAAGATGAAGGTAAATTTTTTTTATCATTATTTCCTTCCTGTATCCATGCTCCTGGTTTCTTACTACATGTTTTCAGTCACTTCCTTTCTGTGAAAGGTCGCTTAGCTTTCTCTCTGTCTCTTTTTTTATTTTTGTGCTTTTACTGTTCTTTATATGAAAAGTTGCAGATTGGATGGACATGTACATTAGATGGTTGAAGTTCTCTGAAAATCCAGAGTAAAGACACCATGTGTTGAAAGGGCCTGCTGGCCTCTCTGAGTGGAGCTTTTTAGCTGACCAAGAGTTGGTTACCCTGGGTACATTTTCTCAGTATTTTCAAAGGAGAGTTTAAACACCATGCGTATTGTGAAATCCACATCAGCTGGGAGATGCTTCTGTAAATAGCTGAACAAGTTGATTGGCTTTTGGATTTGAGGTAGAAATCAAGGTGGAACACATCAGTAAGTCCCATTCTGTCTTTTAGAACCAGGTTACTTAGCAGTTGAAGGGGAGAGCTCTCTCTGAGTCAGCTAAAATGTCTGTATTGTTAAATGCCACGACTTCTCCCTCAAATGCCCAGCCTGTAAATTGCATCTGAGTTACACCAGCAGTAGAGATTGGTAGGTGGCTCACTAGACATGTTTTTGTTTTGCATACATTATACCCGTTCCATTTTTCTCTACACTGTGTACTGCAGTCGTGTGCAGACTGCAAAGTACCTTGGTTTCCTGTTCTGTGCATTTGGATTTTATGCTCTGTCTGCCTCCTAAACTGGCTACTGAGAAAATCAACTGAAGCCTTGTCAGATTGTCTCTGGCAGCAGCTCGTAATAATTATTTATGCTTTGGATTTTTTATTCCAGCTCCTAAAATCTTCCGTCCATTTTAGTTTGAATTTCTCGAGTTGTACAATATATGTATATTTTCTTCTTCCCCTGTTCCCCGCTCCAATTTTGTTTTCTAATGTTTGGTAGTTTTGTACAAGATGAGACTTAGCCTTGGGTATTTCTTGCTGAAGCTTTAATGCTTTGTAAATAAAATCGGATGTTTATTAAAGAACAGATGTAGATGTTTGTTTGTAAGCACCGATCACTTCTGAAACTCACCACTTTGCTTTGTACTATGAAAAATGCGGCTTTCTGTGTTGAGAGAATGTTGGATCTCCATTCTGGGTAGAAATACAGAATTGGTAGGGCTGGAGGATGGGCAGGCAGTCCAGATTTCTGCCTCTAGACAAGATTATAAATAAATGATTTAAGGAAAAAGTTGATATTAACCCAAAAGATTGTCTAGTGATTCCACAGTGTCTCTTCGAATTCTTTAGCTCAGTAGGAGTTTGTGTGAGTTGACTACTTTGTAGAAGCCACAGTGCTGGGCACTCTTGACGGTTACAGAAACGAATGGGAGGAGGCTCCTGCCTTCTACGGACCTTTCTCACAACCTAAAACCAAAAAAAAGAAACAAAAAAAAAAAAAACCAAACCCGCATCGAGTTGATTCCAACTCATAGTGACCCTATAGGAGAGGGTAGAACTGCCCTGTAGGGTTTCCGAGGAGCACCTGGTGGATTCGAACTGCCGATCTTTTGGTTAGCAGCCAAACTCTTAACCACTATACTACCAGGGTCTCACAACCTAGTATAGTTAGTTAAATTCCTCCTTACTAGCCCTTTTTTTCCCCTAGATTAAATTGTTTTAAAACCCATTGAATACTCGTTTTCTAAAGAATATTTCTTAAAGTCTGTTTAAGTCCTTGATTTTAATCATCTCCAAATCTGAGTGTGTGCTTAATCTTTTCTAAGTGACTGAGAATCCTTCTTTGACGTCATAGCTGTCTCATAGCAACCTCGACCCAAGCAAACAATGAAATCCTCTGTTCTGTAGAGTAAAGGGAGTAGGCAGGGGGTCAGGGAGAATCAGGTGTCTCTCACTCAGAAAACATCTTCAGAAGCCTTGGGCAGGAAGAGTACCTAAAAAGGGAGAAGGAGCTACATTTAACATCTATTTTGCTGATAAACATTCTAATTCTAAAAGGGCATCTTGGCCCTTGTCTTCATGAATTTTCATTTCCGTTTAAAATTCCTTACACGGACAGTGTTTCACACTTTACAAATTATTTTCATGTACAGTATATCATTTGATGCTCAAAGTAACCTTGCTGCAGTAGGCAAGGAAGTCTTAATTTACAGAGGAGGAAATAGAAATAGAAATTTGGGAGGATAAGGCACTTGCCTCCTGGTTCAGTGTTCGTAATCCTTACTATAGAAGGTTTAGGGGCATTTAAAGTTGTTAATAACTTAATTCAAATTAATCCTCTTTTTTAGACTTTAATATTTGATTTCTTGTTTGTTGAGATTTAACTGAGCTTTTGAAACCCTTAATTTAGATCCCGCAGTTTGGAGGGGAGGGGAAAGGGTCAAGAACAGTATAGCTCTACTGTACATTTGAGGTGATTTGGAAGTTTCACTTCAGCTTCTAAAGTCTTTTCATCTTTGTTTTCCCAAGAGGTAGATTTAAACTTGTTAAAGGATGTGAAAAGAAGGAAGACTGGTGAGGTAGTTATTAGGAAGCATAGATAGTAAAGCAACAACATTGTGATTTTTTTTTCCCCTGCTTTATGGCCTAATCTGTTAATAAGGACTGGATTTTTGTATTAGAGTATACTGTTTTGACAATGGATGCATCATACCTTTTGACTTTGAAGGATATCTCATGTTGAAGAAATTAAGTTATATCAAGGAAGATTCAACTGAAATACCTCGGAGTGTTGGCTGAGGTGGTGAAATTCCTACTGAGACATGAAGACTTTGGCCACTGGTTTCATCCTTGTGAGCCTGGTGTTGGCCTTCTACATGCCTTTCGTGGTGACTTTACCTAAAACACTGGCCATCCCCAAGAAGCTGCAAGAAGCTGTAGGGAAAGTTATCGTCAATGCCACAACCTGTACTGTCACATGTGGCCTTGGCTATAAGGAGGAGACCATCTGTGAGGTGGGCCCTGATGGAGTGAGAAGGAAGTGTAAGTTTCAGCGCTTGGAATGTCTGACCAACTGGATCTGTGGAATGCTCCATTTCACCATTCCCATGGGGAAAGAGTTTGAGCTGAGCTGTCTGAGTTCAGACATCCTGGAGGTTGGGCAGGAAGCTTTCCGGTTCACCTGGAGACTTGCTCGAGGTATCATCTCCACTGATGATGAGCTCTTCAAACCCTTCCGAACCAATTCCCACTTTGTGAGGTTTGAACCTGCTCGCGAGTTTGACTCTGGGACATACCGGTGTGATGTGCAGCTGTTAAAAAACTTGAAACTTGTCAAGAGGCTCTATTATGGCCTGAGGGTCCTTCCTCCCCACTTGGTGAACCTGAATTTCGATCAGTCCCTGACTGAGGATCAGAAGTTAGTAGATGAGGGCCTGGAAGTGAATCTGGACAACTATTCCAGGCCTCCCCGTCCAGCGTGGAAAAAGGATGTGGCATCTGCCTTGAGAGTAGGAATCGCCAGTGGTGTGGCTGGCGGCGTGTTGCTGAGCGTGGCCCTCTGCAGTGGGCTGAGGGTGATACACGGCGACAGCAGCCTTAGCAGGTTCAAAGATTGGCGCCCAAAGGACTGGCTGTTCAGGAAGCCTGGCTAGCCTTTTAGAGAGCGTTCTGGCTGCCACATTGTGGATGGGCTGTGAGGGAGGGTCCCACTGCCAAGAGTGTGTGGGGAGGGGGTTGTGCATTATGTACCAGATGGATCTCTCCCTGATCCCCCCTTCCCACCAGGTGCCTAGGAAACTGACTGCAGGCATCTCCCCTGTTCCTGGGAAGAGTTCTGTCTTCCAAGCTTGCATTCATTTTGTACCCTTTACAACTTGTAGGCCTCCCCACCTCCACCATATATTCATGTAGAAGGATGTATTAATAGCTTTTCTAGTGAAAACATTTTTTTTCCTCATCAATAAAAATAATTAATTCACAGTAGCTGTATGATGACCTAACCTTTTCTTTTGTGCTCTTTAGTTGAAAATTCCTTGTGTTGGTTTAAATTTTCCCATAATTGGTCTGGCTCTCATTTTCCTCAAGTTTCTTAGAATAGACATTGAACAAATTGTCTCTTTGTAGGGGGCCACATGCCCTCGTGTGGCAGAGCTGAGGTTGTTAGTAACACCATTATGTATGTAATAGATGCGTGTATGTAATAGACAGTCATTCAATGTTAATAAATTACCTGCCCTCCCTGTACTCCCGCAGGTGAACCCTCTCGGTACACAGTTACATTGAATTTCCTGGCACAACACTGGATTCTTGTAGGTTTCTCCTGATGATTCAGACAGTTCCTTGGCCTGCTTCCTGCTTCTTTCCTGTTAGCTTTGTCAGTGTCCTGAAGCTTGTGTTCCTGGGAAAGTTCAAGTGGATTGGTTTCTTACAGCAGCCAAGGCCCCCTAAGGGAGGAAGAGTACCTACACCCCTCTATAGGAAATCCAATCTTAAGACCATAAGGGCCATTCAGACTCTGAGATAATTGGCTTGTTGGAACCATCCCTGAACAGGCCTGGTCACCAGCTGAGCTAATTCTACTGATAGAATTACAGCGTTTCTTCCCATCGCTTTTCTCTAGTTAGCAGAAGGGGATAGCAGAAACGAAAGACTTAGGCCAGTGGCACTTTTTCTAGCCGTCCGTCAAAATTGCCCAGATGAGCTTTTGAAAAATTAAGATTCCTGAGCCCCAACTCTGAAGATGCTAATTCAGTTTAAAGTATGGCCAAAGAAGCTGTATTAGTGTCTCTACTTTTTTATTTAAAAAATATTGAAACCCATAGGAAGGCTGGAAGAAATGTTTGATGACCATCCATAGACCCTTTACCTAGACTCACCAATAGTTAACATTTTGCCACATTTATGTTTCTTCCTAAGTATATATTGATTTTGCTGAACCATTTGGAAGTGTTAGACATTGTGACCCTTCACCTCTAACTCATGCATGCATCTCCTAAAAAGGACATTCTCCTATATAACCACCATGTCATACCACACCTAAGAAAATGAGCAGTAACTCCCTGATCTTATGTATAGTCTACACTCAGATTTCCCCAGTTTCCAAAATCTTACAGCTTTTTTATGTTATTTTTTGATCCAGGATCAAATGAAGGTTCACATGTTACATTTGATTATTTCTCTTTAGACTCGTATTTTATTACAGGTCCTTTGCATTTGGTATTTCATAATGTTGATTTTCTTGAAGAGTATAGCTAGGCCAGTCGTCTGTTCTTCTACAGTCTGGATTTGTCATTTCCTCACTATTAGATTCAGCTTCAACATTGTTGACAGGAGCCCTACGTAGATGACAGTACCTACTGCATTACATCAGCAGGGACATAATGTCAGGCTGATCCACTGTTGGTGATGATAGATTGTTCATTTGGTTATGGTGGTGACTGTCAGATCTCTCCAAAGGTGTATTTTTTTCCCTTTGTAGTTAATAATCTGGGCAGGGATACTTTGGAGGTTGATTATTTGGTGATCCTTGCCTCATTCACTGTTGCATGTTGGGGTTGCAAAACGGTGATTCTTCTAAGTTCAGCATTCCTTCTATTAGCCTGCATTTTTCTGTAAAGAAGAGCTTTTTTTACCCTCCTGTTATTTTTGAGATGTCAGTGGGTTCTCTTTTTTATTCAGTGAATTATATACTCCATTACAGATGTCATTTTTTTTGATGCTCAAATTGTCCTAAATTTTGGCCAGGGAGCCCCTTTTGTCCTTTTGATATGGTCCATTTGACTTTGAGCATTTCGTTGTTTTCTAGTACAAGATGTCCCAGGTCCACATTTGGACTTTCCTTGTCCCAAACCTGAATCTGCTTTTCCTCCAAGGGACCCTGGTTCTTCTTAGTGTGGGCAGTAAGTATTTAGGAACCAAGGTCTGTGTGCTAGGTGCGCTCATTACTCCTGGGGAGTCATTGCCTCTGGGCCATCTCAGTGTCCCACACACATGTAAGTCGTGAGGTCTAAGCATCTTTGTTTTTAGAAGTTTTATAGGTGATTCTGATAAATAGCCAAGATTGAGAACCACTGACCTCGCCCTATGCATAGGGAGTCTACCTTGCTGTTGCTCACCGTTTGAAAAGATCTTAAATTTTCCACATGCCCTTTCCCGCATACTGTGTCTCCAAAAGGATGGACTTCAGACCTCGATTCTGGTCCTCGTCTTCTGTCCCGTGTGATGGCACAAGCTGTCTGACCCTTCATAGTCCTCATCTTTGTCCTCATGGTTGTTGTAAGGGCCAAATGAATCCTTTGAGTAAAAGTGCTTTGTAAACTGAAGTACTGGACATGAGTTAGGGAATGTTATTACAGAAGCATCTTAGCCCAGTACTGGACAGTGTGCTGAAGCAATTAGGAGATAGCTGCTATGCTTTAAAGAAGACCGTAAAATTACAGCATCTCTCTCTGTACTTAATGAACTCAATATTACACTGCTGAGGAGGGAGGAGGACTGTGGGGCAGTTTCCCATTTTACAGATGGAGACACTGAGGCCCAAGAAGAGCTAAATAATCTCTCCAGCATTCTGTTGCAAACCAGTAGTCAAACACGGGATGGACAGTTACGCAGCTCTAGGTTTTTGGCCCTCTGTTCATTGGGCGCTTGAATTTTGACTCTGAGGATATGAAGGGATTGAGTAGGGAAGAGAACAAAGGACCTCTCTGTGAGTAGGAATCAGATGTGTTAGTAAAGACCAAAACCCAATCTGATTCATTGAGTTCTGTGCATGTAATCTGCCTCTGGCGGGTCAAGGGGATGATGAATGTACTAAGATGTGGGTGCAAAGTGGAGGAGATGATCCAATCACAGTATCTACCAGTGTCTGCGCTGGTCCCTTCTGTCGGGTCGCTGTCAGCCTGGGCTTCTTATGCCACACAAGTCCTGGGCAGATAGCTAAGCACCTAGTAGTGGGGCCTCCGCTCACCTTCATCTCCACCAAAGCCCCCTTCCCTGCAGGGAGTCCTGTCCACTGTGCGCTGAACAAACTGAACATGTCTCATGTAAATGGAAATCTGATAAACGTTTGTTGAATGCGTGAGAGAATGCTGTGGCTGGAAAATGTGACTTTAGTGATTCAAACCCTTTTGGCTGCTTTGGGCAAAGGCAGCAGATGAGTTCTTGCAGTTGGGGGCCACTTTATCTGCAGGGAGAAAACTTCCCTTTGGGATCACTGAGTCAGCACCTCAGTGTCCTGAAGATCAGGGAACCTTAGCGGCAGTACCATCACACGACCGTAGTTCACTGCCCATGGTGTCAGTCAGCCCCGTTTAGAAAAACCTGTCTGGTCAGTGAGTCGATTCCAGCTTTTGCCTGCCGTAAAGTGTCTGGGCCTAATTTTCTTTTGCCAAGGAATGAATGAAGCAATGTGGCCTGTATTTTGTAACTTCCTTAGAGTTGACTGTGTGAAGGGTGAAATATGGGATAAAAACCTCTAGGGTTAGAGGACAGAAGAGGTATGCTTTAGCCTGAAGATAAAAAATACCCGTAGCTGGTTCCAGCTGCCTCAACAAGTTGAGAATCCAACTTTATTTAAGAACTGCCTGCTACCACAGTCAATAAATAACTACGTTACAAGAAGTACAAGAGAGACAGACAATAGGCCAGTGGCCGTGGTTCCGTGTTGGCAGTAACGGAGTCCCTAGCACAGGCCCAGCCGTGAGCAGCTCTAAGCTGTGCAGGTCCAGGAGGGGTGGGGGAATTGGAGGATTAGGGCCAAGGCAGAATGCACCCCATCTAAGGGTCCTGAATCCTTCTGCCTCTGTGGCTACCTGGGCGGCTGGCAAAGCTCTCTGGCCCTGTTTTTCCCCTCCCAAAGCTGTACGACCGTGTAAATATATACAAGCCCATGGGGTGTCCCCTCAGCTACCAGGCACCTGTTTACATGGAGCTCTTTGAGGCCCCTTAGAAAGTGCCCTTAGTCCCTCTCACGCCACCTCAGGAGCCTCTTGCCAACCTCCTTCATGCCCAGGATGACGCTCAGGTTAGGTCTGATGCAGAAACAGGCCATCACACCTGTACCACTGAACAAAGGTGAGAGAATACTGTTATCCCTCTGACTTGGGCCCAGCTGGCAGGCACCTTCTGGGACCGGGAGGCGAGAAGAGGTTCCTCTGTAGCTGAGGAAGAGATCACAGGCAGTAAAGCATTCTCGGCCATCTCGGGCTCCTGTAGTCAGGTACAGGCTGGATGGCTCTGGGGACTGGGAAAGCACTGAGTTGTAACCAGAATGCCTGGGGTGAGCCCTCCCTCTTCCTGTCTGTGTGACTTCAGTCACTTCCCCCCAAAGGGCAGGGGCCACAGCATACATGTTCCCAAGACTTCTCCTTGCTGAAGACTCTAAGACTCTCAGCTCTGGAAGGACACTTAACAGCATCTCCCCACCCAGCCCCCGCCCCTCCAGTCCTGATTTCCCCTAACCTAGACCGCGACCAACAGCTGTCAAAACTCCTCAGTGATCCCTAGAAAGGAAAGGAGCTTCTTAGTCATTCCAGGGTCACTCATTCCAGGGTCACATTGCAGAAGCTCTTTCTGATGTCTAACCTCTGTGCCTCCTGTTGTTACTTTACCAAAAAGAAAAGGAGAAAAATCCCCTCCCTGCAAACCAAACGCTGGCTGGAAGACTGAATCAGCCCAAGAGCTCCCCACTGAGGTCTGGAGGGCGATGAGAAGCGAGGGTTCACAGTCCTCTCAGAGGACTCTCAGAGGTCCTCCCACTCCCCCGCACCTCTGGCCTTTGATGCCCTGAATGAAAGTAGAGTCACTTGACCTTGCTGGGCCCGAGACTCCATCTGGGGAGAGCTGCCCTCCCATGATACACATCTGCACTGTGAGAGCAATGAGGACCAGGTCACCATGGCAAGGGGCAAAGGGCCTGGAAGTGGTGTTGGCAGGCTGTGTCCCTGGTCCTAAAGGCACTTACTGGCCACTAATCTGGGTGGTAAAGGACTTGTGTGCGGCTTTTCTCCCTTGCTGCCTCTGGGGCTGCAAATGCTGGGAAAACGGACCTGATGTGTGTGAGAGGAGAGAATCCAGGAGAGGCTTAGTGATCACAACAAGAGGGAGCAGACTCTCTACTCCCCCAGCCCTTCTGAGCAGAGAGACGAAAACCAGAGGTCCCTTGGGCAGGAAGGGACTCTGAAAAGCCATCCAGTCTAGGTTTCCACCTTCAAGCCAGCTTGTGTACAAGCCACCCCAACAAGAGGCTGTTGCATTCTAAACCCTGGC